AGCCATCAAATATATGAAGTAAGATATATGGAATTATGTAAAAAAAAAAAAAAACAAGACTAAATAAATGTGTTTTTAATATTTTGCTTCTTTAACTTTTTTTCTGTACTAAATAATTCTGTGTATCTTGTTTCATGTATTTGATATATTCCATATATACAATGAAGAAAGTGGTAAGAAAAAAAAAAAGCCTTTGTATTTTTAAAGATTAGCAGTCAAAAGTTTAGACACAATCTTCTTTTTTTTTTTTTCTTCTCTTTTTTTGATGAACTAACTTGAGGATTTGGTTATAAAACAGAGAAAAATCTATATTATTTATTTTTTTTTATTTGCTACATAATTCCATATATTTTACTTCATATATTTGATATTTTCTGTATCTATATCAAATTTAGAAAGTAGTAAACACATAGAAAACACACTGAATGAGAAGGTGCCCAAACTTTTGACTGTTATCGTACATTTAACTACCTCCCACCTTGCGTTCTGTTTTCCTTTTTTTTTTCTTTTTTTTTCTTCATGAACATTGCATCTATTGACACCACCACCCCAAGTCCAAAGCCACTACGGTAACACGAACACAAACTCCCCTCTAAGCATCCATCACATGTGTGTGCCGATGTATCGCTGTGTTCCGCTGCGAACATCAGCCCCTCTCACAGCTCCTCTGACAGCTTTGATAGATGATTCGAAGCGGACACAGGACTCTCACTGGAGCCCCTCTTTCTTTTTCTTTTTCTTTCTTTTTTTGTTTTTTTTGTTTTCCACTTCTCTGCCCGTGTGCGGTAATTCGAAACTGTTGAATTGGTCACACGCTGCTGACTTCGCCATAAGTGAACTCCAACGGCATTGACTTATTGTCTTGGCACGTGCGAATCAGGACCAAACGGCATGAACCTTACCCTAGTCAAGTGAATTTATTTGCCTGTAGTCAGCGGGCTGGCGATGCCTTTAAGCTGACGGGAACGGCACCAGACCAGACTGTATTTGAATGTGTCACTTAATCTTTCGGAAAAGGAATAAATCATTGCGAGGCTTTATCCAGGCCATTACGTTTGGGGCCGTTTAGCCAGCGTCGCAAACAGGCGAGCGGAGACAATAACGGGACCTTTGATTCTCGGTCTAATGGAAACACGAGCGGCACTTCCGGACGGTCGCCAAACTACCTGGAACCATGAGTCATTTGTACGCTATTTTTGGAGTGAAAAAGCGCCTCAAAATGGCTGACCTTTCCAGACCAATAGAGTTGTTGACAAATTGCATGGAAAAGTGAGGGTGGTTAAACAGGCAAATAATGGCTTTCTGTTTCAACTGTGGAAAAGGTGCATTGTGGATTTTTTACTGCTGCAGGGCACACCGCTTGTTTGTTGCCATGGAGATGTGAAAGGGTCCATATTGTGATATTTTCTCATGTTGTTTCCTCATCAAAAAACATACCTGAAGTTGTGTTTTGTTTTAATCTCACATTTGTAAAAGTAGCACACACATTCTGCATATTTAGGTTGAGTTCTCCTCTTTTCCACCTTGTGATATCATGGGGTAATACAAGAAGTCTTCCACTGTTCCATACACTTTCAATAGAATCATTTGGATAATTTCAGCCCTGGAATTGCCCATCTCTACTGAACTAAAGGTAAACTGTAGCTGCAGCAAAGGACAAGTTCAATTTGTCAACTGGACAAGTTTATTTTGGTCAAATACGTTTCGCAGCTCATCCAAGCTTGCTTCTTCAGTTCTGATCGGAATGCTGGTGGACACTTTTTTATGTCTGTCTGCAGGGAGGAGCTAACTACACTGAAACTACTCTGAAACTACACACTTATTTGTTTACAGTTTCTGTTAGTTAGACCTATTGAAATGCACTGACTGTGGGGTCTTATTAGCATAATCCTTCAGGGCCATAATAGGAGCTTTCACACGTCTGGACCTGACCTGGCTTCAAGTATTGTTCTCTTGTTTATTTACGTTTGAGGATGAAGTTGTAAATAGGAGATAGATGGTGTCTGAATCCCTCATTTCTGTTTAGAGATAGATTCTCTTTCTTAACACCCCTTTCAAACCAAGTATTTTCTATAAGATCTGTACCTCACTGTCCTCAAAAAAGTAGCCCATGTTTTTTAGGTGGAGATGTATGGCAGACTGAGGTCCACTATTGCTCTCTCGTCTGTGTAGGTACATCCTCCTGTGAAGTGGCGGGTTGTTTCACCAATGTAGTTAGCTCCTCCCTGCAGACAGATATAAGGAAGTATCCACCAGTGTTCTGACCAGAACTGAAGAAGCAGCTTGGATGAGCTGCGAAACATATTTGACGAAATAAACTTTGTCCAGTTGACAAATTGAATTTCTCCTTTGCCATGGATTCTACCTGGGATTTTTTAACACGTAAAAGGTAGTTGTTAACTTGAAAAATACTGTTTCATGACATCACAAGGTGGAGCAGAGCATTTTGAGCTTTGCACATGTAAACAGATAATAATACAGAACAGAAAGCACAAGTCCAGGGATGTTTTTGAGGAGGTAGCAACGTTATTTCATGGCTTAAAGCTCACAAGAGTCAACTTTGCGTAATATAGGACCTTTAAATTGTCTATTAGCATTTTCCATGAAGAGATTTATGTGAGCAAATTGTCTAGCTACTTTTTTGGCACACATTTCTGCAGTGCTTTTTTTGTTTCCTGTTATAAGGAAACTTTAAGTCTACATCAATATAACAGAGTGAGGCAAGATTTGTTACCATGACGGCAAGATCTGTTACCATGACAGTTCTTTTGGAAGCTGCATATAGCACATTCTATTCAAAAAGATAAAGAGTTTCAAAGGGTTGTTGGATCTGATGAACGATGTACCTTTTATTTTCTGTTCTATATAGTGCAAAACAAAATGGATAAATGAGATGATATTTTAATTAAGCCCTCCCAGTGTTTTTAAATATAGTGGGAATTATAATTAACTTTGTTGTTTGATTCATGGTGATTTAATGGGCCCATGAGCTTTAAGTCATGTTATAATGTTGTTAACTCATCAAAAACATCCCTGAAGTTGTATTTTGTTTCATTCACACATCTTTGAGTAATCCTTTATTATTACTTTGTCTAAATCTCCAAAGCTCAAAATGCTCTGTTCCACCTTGTGATGTCATATAGTGGTAGTTTTCAAGTTATCAGCTACTTTTAACCTTTTTTTTTTTCAGTAGAGATTTGCAATTCCAAGTTTTAAATCATCCAAATGATCTAGTGAAGGTGTATGGAGTCAAAAAAACACAGTGGAGCACTTCCTGTATTGCCACATGACATCACTTTTTGGGGTGGTAACCGTCTTGTGCGCGCTCCCATCCATTTTCCAATAAAAACCCGCTGTTGGATTTCAATCTTTAGTGAACAAACGACTTAAACGAAAGGGAGGAGAGGATCTTGCCAAGCCAATTAGGCAAAGCAATAATGGATTCTCAAGTCACCAGAGGAACCGTTTGCCCTCTATTTAAACAGTGGAGATAATTACAGTTCTATCTCCAAAAATGAGTATCAGTGTGGATGAATCAATTCAGGCAGGAGGGTTCTCTGATGGCCTAAAATAGCAGGTCAGATGAAGTGACAAAAGCAGCTGGGAATAAAGTCAAATTAAGAATTTAACAAATTACATACTCAAGTTCAAGCCATGGTGTGATGATCTTTTTTTTTTTTTTTTTTTTTTTTTAAAGGTTGTTTTAAAGATTTTGGGGGATTTGGAAATACTGTAAGTTGTTGTAGCTGAAACTAATGGTAATAAATAATAATAATAATAATAATAATAATAATAATAATAATAATAATAATAATAATAATAATACATTGTTATTATTAATTATCCACTTATTTTATTATATTTGAGCAAATTTAATTATTAATAATGTTCCTCAAGTTATATTACTACTACTACTACTACTATTATTACTACTACTACTACTACTAATGCATTACCTTATTTACTACTACTGCTAACTACTACTAGTACTACTAAATCATTACCTTATTATTCATAACTACTATTATTACTAATACATCCACTATTATCACTATTACCACCACTACTACTACTTCTAGTACTAGTACCACTACTATTACTACCAGTAGTCTCACTACTGCCACTACTACCTCTACTACTACTACCACCACTACCATTCAACCCACCACTACTACTACTACTACTACTACTCCTACTCCTACTCCAAATCAAACTCATTACCTTATTATTTACACACAAAAAAAGTCATTTCACATTCACATTTCAGTTCCTAGAGTGACGGTGCTATCGACGTGTGCTTTGTTAGTTGGAGGTTCAGAGATAGCCGGGCGCCTGGGCAGGGCCTGAGTCTGGGCACTGGATCAGTCAGTGGATTTGCAGGCTGGTGGCTAAGGCTATCCTCTAGGTAGACGGACAGAGAGAGAAGAGAGAGTGAGAGAAAGAGGGATGAGAGATGGAGAGAGAGAGACGGAGAGAGAGAGAGGATTTACCGATCCCCCAGTGGACTTCTCAATGGCCCAGATGGAGAGCCCAAAAAAGGCCTGGGCTCCTGTGGCCTGGAAAATAGATTTTACACAGTCAGGGCTATGTTGGGGCTATTACATAAATATAGGGGATAGGGTTCAAATCCATCAATTTGACATAACATTACTGCTACTGAGAGGTTAAACAGTTTTAGTTGGGTCTTTTAATATTAAAGGTGTGTTATGTAACTTCCGACATGACATCACAAGGTGGAATGGAGCATTTTGAGCTTTAGACATGTAAAGAGAATAATAAAGGATTACTCAAATGTGTGTGAATGAAACAAATCACAACTCCAGGTAAGTTTTTCAGGAGGTAACAACATTATAACATGGCTTAAAGGTAACAAGAGTCATCCCCATCTCCAGTCCACCACAAAACTTTGCATTGTGCACCTTTTACAGGACAAAAAAAGCAAGCTGATTTGTGTGCTTCAGTGTGTTTTATAATGCTCCAATGCTTATCTTGCTTTACAGGTCACGATAAGGAAATACTGACATAGACTTACTTCATCGTTGCATCAAGCGTCCAAAGGTAGGAGCACAGGCGCTTTTCTGTATGATTCTCTCTCGGGCTCTTCTTCTTCTCTCAAAAGAACATAATTTTACCTCTCCCCATCCCTCCGCTCTCCCTTTTCACGAATAAACGAGGCGATCTGTCCCTGGCTGAGTTTCACCATGTTGCGCTCCATGTCTTCTCTGATCTTGTTTGTGGTGCTTGGTGTGAGGTTTGTAATAGTTTGGTCTCCATAAACCTACTTGAACTCAATAGTTTATGATGGGGTTTTGGAAATGGTAGTGTTCATTGTCAAAACTGCACTTGTACGAGCTAGTCAGAGATTCCAGTTTTTTTTTTTGTTTTTTTCTTTTTCAGCTATTTCTTGTGGTTTTCATTATGCAGCAAAACATACCACAATAAAAGAATCCAAATAATAATCATAATAATTCCTGTAGTCATAGATTAAATAATGTACAATACATACAGTAATAATAATAACTAGGAGCACCGCTTTGTAATACTAATAGGCCCTTTGCCAGCTTCTGGTGTTTGGGCCTAAATATGGCCGCAAGCAATGATTGGCCTTCGCCTGCTGCCGGAAGAAGAAAAAAACAGAACAGTAACAATATAGGGCCACCTATGGTGTCACATTTATATGTTATTGGAAAGTACTCACGTCCAGTAACGCACCCATGGGATCCATTGTCAATGACGAGCTCAACCTCTTTCATTACTCACATGCGCAATGTATGTTTTTGGAGTTTACCGGGGTTAACAGTTACAGCTATGGTGATATTACATCAATGGGCAATGCCAGTGTGTACTACTGGATGCCATGAGTGTCATTATTGAGTGGCATTCAGTGTCTGATAAGGGGAGAGCTCTTCGTGCTCTGTTTTCGCGGGCGCACTTGACTTTGTGCACATTGTGCACTTCGTTCATGATGTCAAGTGCGCCGTGTGTTTTGGGGTGAACAGTTACAATTAGGCCTGGGCGATGCCACCGTGCCATGTCAGCAGGCACAAGTCGATGACATGAGTGTCACTATGTTTGGAAAGGGCAGAGCGCTTTGCACCGCTGAACAATCACAATAGGCCATACGCCACCCTTGGCACTCGGGCCTGATGAACACACATACAAGCACACAATGAGTTTATAATACCACATTATTCTGTTGTCCATATTTGCAATTTGACTGTTTGTCAAGATGATTATCAAATTATCAGAACATATAGTTTTATAGTTTTAGTTTATCAATAGTAATACATGTTGATAAACTAACATGCTAATTTATACATGTTGAAAGCTAACTTTATTAATAGCTTATTTGACAACTAACTTCTTGTTTCTCATGCATGTTTTGACACCTGTGTGTGTTTGTAGAATGATAATGCTGTTGTGTTGCTTCATCATAACTGCATCCTTGTATCAAAATATAAAAAAAAATAAGATATTGTTGTCTTGTCAAGCACTGGTTTAAATAAGAGCCACTTTCTTGTACTTTTGCCTTTTACTTTCATGCCGATATGTTGACACTTGACAGGCATTTTTTTATTTTATTTTTTCGTGGATAAAGCTGAGATTTCATGATCTTAAGCAAGTCATCTTTAAAGTCCCCCATAAATCATCAGACTTCAGTCATTTAGCCGCTGATCTAATGGGAGATGGGGGTTCACGCTGAGTGTTAAAATGTCATGATGTTTGAGGCACTGGATAAACAAAACTCTTTGGTGTGTCACTTAAAGGCAAATGCGCTACGTTTGATGGCAACAATGTGCACTTTTCAAATCCGGCTGTATTAATCTCTTAGACGATATTAATTTTGCACTCAGTCAATTACGGTATATTGACCCAGAGACCAAAGGTATACAAGTGATTGGTTTATTGATTGGGAAGGCCCCTCCATTTTGCAATCTCCTCATCTCAGACACCTTCAAGCTCATTTTGTCAATGCAGCAACTAGTCTATCAGTATAGAGTCAATAATTTTAATAACACCTTAAGTTGACTAGGTATACATTTGAAGTAAACCTGGTCGATATATTGAAAAAAAAAAACTACAAAAAAAAAAAACACTTACTCCAATGACAAGACTGCATGACACAAGCTTTTATACTAGTATGATCCTTACAGTTTTAATAGTGTGGCAGGGTATGTACGTGATATGAATTTGAATGGGGCCAGGATAGGACCTTGAGGAACTCCACTGTCTATGTGCATTAATTTACGATCTATTAAATATTGCTACCACATTTTGAAGAATACATTGATTTACAGACAAAATAACGCAATAAAAAGCCAAGGATCATGTAGAGTGGGTTAATGTTAACATTTAAAGACCAAAATGATGAGGTTAACAGCAGCAGTTACAAAGAGAGGGGAGATGTTTTTCATTGTAAAGTTAAGTGGAGTCAAGAGTCGATTGAGCCGGAAGAGTGCCCATGCACACTTGCTATTGTGGAATGACAATGTCCATTTATCTATACAATCTATGCTACCAACACCTCCAAAAAGGTTAAAAGAAACATATATACGGTTTTGACTTTAATATATCTGACCTGTGTCTTTAGATATGTGGTAGACGTGCAAAACCAACACAGCTCTTACTGATAACAAGTGTGATTTAGGTACAAAAACATGACAGCCAAACTGTTTACATTATAATTTTCTGTTTTTTTGTTTCTCAAAGACTATTATCCAATCAGAAAGTAGAATGTGTCTCACGCAAGTTTCTCATTTGGGTTGCCAGTTTCAATGCTAAAACTCTGTTGATTTTAAACCTAAAAGGACTCTCTCTGATCTGAATCTGAGCTTTCACACGAGATACAGTCATATGGGGTTGCAGTAGCTCAGTTGGTAGAGCATTTGTCCACTGATCCAAAGGTTGGCAGTTCAATTCTAGTGGTGTATACTGGTGTATGAATGTGTCTGAATGGGTGAGTGGTTCCTTGTTGTAAAGAGCTTTGAGTGCCTGAGCTGGAAAAGCGCTGTATAAAAATGTGACCATTTACCATCTTTCGACAATGGAAAAAAATCAGTGATGTATACACTAAAAGGTCAAGGGACTGGCAACAAAGATTCAGTGGTCATTGTAGTACTTTTTTTTTTCTTTTTTTTTTCCACAATAAGAGCACAGGATACATCCAGCTGCAATTCAAAATTTAACAGGCAAAGCAGCCCGAGAAATCTATGAACCCAACCTACATTTCAATTATCTATTATGCATCTCAACCCCCCCCCCCAAAAAAAAAAACAAAAAAAAAAAAACATCGACTTCACCTGCGAGAAGGACACTATGACCATTTCTTATTTATAGTGGCCCAAACGCTCAATAATCCCAGGGTCAGGCAGTTGAGAAATGGCTTTGTTGGTTTAGAGGAGAGTGCACGATGAGTTGTGCTTCGCCCTGACCCCACAGCCCTCCACACCTGAGGCAGCACTGTGCTCTTGTGTGGCTAAAGGCCAATGAGAGGAACTTAAACAGTGAACGTGGTAGTGTGACCAAGCTAACCTCAACCTCTCTCATTGATTTGTGGAGGAGGATTTAAACTCCGCCAGAGGGAGGAAGCTCGGATAATTTGGCAATGTTTAATAGAGGCCGGTTTGAGCATGTATCTTAGTGAGATTTTAGGAGCACTCTGAATGGATTAGGTTCAAATCATTATGTGTAGTGAATTATAAAACTGAATAGCTGCAGTCTGACTATGTGTACTTTTATAAATCTGGTATTTCATTAAAGGGGCATTTAACTTTTTTGTGTTTTTACTTTCTTGACTGGAATGTCCCAAAATTGCAAACGTTTAATGATCAAAAATACCTTAAAAATACATGCATTCCTACTGTGGAAGGGTTACCTCTCCACAGATCTGACCTGTAATCAGTAAAGGGGACATTGTGTAACTTTTTTTTTTCGTGAAGATGTTTTTACTTTGCCCGGAATGTTTCACAGTATGACTTTAAACATATCTGCCTTGCATTTATTCAGTTACATATGTATGTATGCGAATATGCAAGTGGGTGGGAAATGACTTGCAAAAAAAACATATATTTTTAGAATACGTTTACACTGAAATGAATCATATGAATGAATGTATCACCGTATCAGCATATCGAAAACAATTTGTGTCCAGGCACGTCGTTTCTGTGACCGCAGTCCTTCCCTATCCACACAGCTTTGAGCATATTTGTTTACGTTATACAGAAATGACACTTAAAACCGCATGGCTAATTTGCATGAACTAAGTGCTCAAAAAACAGCTCGCTATTGTGCTCTGATGCGGTTCAGCTTCTGTCGGACTAAAGGACACGACTCAGTGGATTATATGTGTTTTTTCTGTGACAGAGGGGTGTTCTGCTGATGGTGAGTCTGTTCTGTGCTTCTGTCGTGTTGGAGATGGTTCATATTAAATTTTTCAGAGATTATATGTCTGCAAGTCATACGCATAGACATATATTCTAGCCTCTTGGCATTTTGGCGGTGAATTACTTTGCGGCGCATAGACCTGCATCAGTGTATCAGTGTTTTCAGGTGTCCACATGGTGCCAGATCAGCTCTGTACTCAAATGAATTTGTAGGAGCTGCCGACACCAGATAGTTCCGTCTCTGGAGCTGTTTTCCATCGGATTAGTCTAGACGAACTCTGCATCCTCAACGAAAACGACTCGAATATGTACTAGTGTGGATGGGGCCTTACTGTGAGCAAGGTCACCTCTCCACAGATCTGACCTGTAACTTGACCCAGTGATGTTGCCTGCTTGTCTCCATGGAAATAAGCAAGTTAAATACAATACTGTGGAATATCTCAGGGAAATCAATTACATATAACGACAACAAAAATACATTACTGAAACTAAAAATTACAAAAGAAATACCAAGGTTCTGAAGCTGGTGTGTGATGTTAACTGCAGGCACTGCTCTGTCTGACACTCTGACTACTGGGCTTTAATCTGAGTTTTATTTTAATACAATCTGACCAGAAAGATCTGATTTAGTTGGAATGTGATCAGATGATTTGTTTTGCTGTTAAACAAGTTTCT